AATTAAATATTGAATTCCAATTTAAGTTGCGCATGTGATTAAATTAATGACGCGATTAAGTGCTTCTGTAAACCGGAGATACATCAATGTACCCAATTCATTCACAAAAGATTAATAAATTGCTGCATCTTGTTAATGTGGCAGACAAAGATACAAAATTTAGACAGAATACTCATCGGTTGGCGGGCTAATACAACGATAATACACACGTTGGGTTCCTGTAACGAACTGTAGCAGTGCATCGATCAGTGACGCTCTCATGGTTCCAGTTGTTATTAATGTAACACTTGTATAATTACTTTCAGTTTGGTAGGTCATGCCAACCTTTACGTACTCTAAAATAGTACAATTTTTGTTCCGTGTGTAGCACCGCCATTCAGATGGCTGGAGGTCTGTTTATCTTTTTTTCCTACGGCATTTTCCATAAAACATTCCTGGCTACCCTTAGGTCGATAAAAAATTCTAATAATGTTCTTGTTTCCATTTCCTTCTTCGTGTTTTATTTAAAGGTAGGTGTTATTGATTCTTTTTTCGTTGATAAATTCTGACGGCACTTCGAGTGCCATTTCCTCCGTTTGTAATATTGTTGAATATGTTACTTTTTTTTATTTGTGATTTGATTATTTGAACCAATTTTTACGTTCTTAATAACTTACAATGCTTTTACCATGAAAGTGAGTAGTGAAGGTTTTAAGAGACCAGAAAGTGATAATTAATGCAAATAATCAATCGCCAGGTTAATTATTAATTAATGCTTCAGCTGATTCATGATGGTAGTTATTTCTGCTATCCTTTTGTAGACACATGCGTTGCTTTAAAAAAATACAGTCAGTCCACTGCCATCGATTATTGTATTCACATTTGTGACGTCTGCCGGTGATTAATTGTGTCTTAATCGTGTCTCGTGTAAATTCCAATCGACATATAATTTCCTGTGTTGCGCTAGTGTTCTTCACTCACTCTAATAATAGAAGCGAAATTCAGGTAACAAAAATAAAGACACACACATCCAGGTACTTGTTGCATGCTTCCTTCCGCTCTCGAAAATCTACTTCTCAAAACCTTGTCTATTTTCCAGCAGCGTTTAAATTCGACTTTAACAAGTCGTCGCGTTATCCCAAACGACTTAATTTTCTCCTCATCAAATCGCAACGTCATCCATCTGCCATACACGCCATCATTCCTGCAGCACGCCATGAACGTGCACACAATTTTAATTGGACGCTTCGACAATTTCATTATTCGAAATGTGAAGTGCCATTAACAAGATCCACCGAAACGAAGGCAGTTAACGAGAACCGAACCGAACAAGTTTCGGTCGTTTCAGCAAATTAGTTTACCTATTTCTCTTTAATTGAATATTTCGTTCCTGCTGAAAGTACATTACATGAAAGAGTCACCTTTCAGACGAGCGAAATTACTTTCGGGACCTCGATCGATCAGAGACCTGTTTACGCGTTTTTGCAATCCTTGGAATTGGAGGAATAGCGCGGAAAATACCGAGAGTATCTTCATTTTGTCGAAAAGATGAGAATGTTTCTGGGATTGTTTGCCAGAGGAGGGGACGTGGAAAATAGTTGGCGGGTGTTGGTGCTGACTGCAGCGAAAATTTTACTAGTTTGTTTTCAATAATGAAATCGTGAAATATTCATGCTGAAATGTTGAGTGTTTGGACAAGTGGGAATAGGGGCGAAATATTTGCTGAAGCGCTTAATTAGTGGCGGTTTTACCAATATTTTGCGTTTAACATCATTTGCGGTCTACCGCTAAATAATGTTATTAATTTAATTTGCTTCTGTTTAATAACAGGGTTTATAATTTAATGATACTTCGTTTGGCTTTTTCAAAAGTGTTTATAGAGGTAGATATTTTTAACAAAAATAACTGTTGGTAAATTCATGGGGAATTCCTAGTTTGGGAGATAATTACAACTACATAGGTGTTACCATGTTAGAACCTGGACTTTTCAAAATTCAACCAATAAATGATGAAACACTCTGTACAAGAAAATAGTCTTTTGATCCTTTTCTAGGCGAGTATTAAGAATTTTTAGTTGAGTGAAGAAGTGAAAAATCAAAAAATGTAAATGTCAAAAGTAGCTATTAGCTCAAGACCATTTCAACGTTTAAATACATTGAAATTTATTCAGTTATTTAAAAAACACCCAAAATGTCAAAAATTTTCATTTTAGTCATTTCGATGCGAGAGTCAATTTTACCCTATACTACAACTATTTACGAGGGTTTTGACTAAATACATAAACTATCTTTTATATTAAATTTTGATTGATGGAGCAGGCAAATCATACCATTATTACCATAACAATACAAACAACAAAAATCAGAAGCCTCATAAATCTTAATTGCTAACGATGTAGAAAGAATCGATATCAATGGACTTCATAAGCTGTAATCTTTCATTGCGTAACTTCTACCACTCAGATAGCGTAGTTTGATTAACATCTCGTCGAAAGCAAACATTTGCTAAAGCTAATATTATTTTAACGATGACATTTCTGAAAAACAATTGATACCTGATCAGTATTTGAGCAATCATGTTTAGTCTAATTTTAATTATATCTAGGTTATAATAGATAACTGATTTATTATAAAGTGTAATTTAGATAATCTGCTTAACCGAAGGAAACGTATAAAAAAAATACATGTTAGTTAAAAAAAAATTCGAATGAATTTTATAATAGGAGTAATAAATTTAGTATATTCAGAATGAAATGATGGCACATCATTTATCCATTTCTATTCTATTTAAATTCAACAGGCATTTCTCCAGTCAAATTCAAATCTATTAATAAAATAATACGAGCTGTTTAATTCAGCTGTTTATTACTCTAATTTAATGCTACATATTGGGAGTGCTTTCAATTTGAATTTGTTTAAGAGCTCTGCGACGATATAAATTTTAAGAGGCAGTTTAAAATTACCACATAGCTTACACTGCTCGTATAATAGCTTCCACTAGTAGTGAATGTAACCAAACATCAAATTTTTTGTTAATACTTACGATTGTAAAAGGCATCATAAGACATCTGTCAATTTTATTTTTTTCACACAATGTAATTTGCCTTATTTGGGACAACAAATGTCAAGTGGATGCCATTTATACTGAGTTCCAAAAAGGTTTCGAGCTAAGCTATCATTAATACTGTAGATGTTATCCGTAAGTCAAAATTTGTGATTTGCGTATCATTTTTCTTAGTATTATTAACACTTGTTTAGCTTACTTCCTAAAGTTTCTACATTAAAAGACTTCGGCGTAATTTTGTGTCATAAATTTCGTTTTAATGCCCATATCTTAGATAGTATTGGGAAATGTCAACTCAATAATAACTTCCCCGGTATCTACTATGTGTGAACATTTTAATATAATTTCAAGCAATTGCGACATTAATTTTAATTTGGGAAATAGTTGTTAAGTTGCATTATTACATTAAAATAAAATGAGTCTAGTTGTTATTTTTGCCAGTTTAATTTTTTATCACTTTCTTTACATATTCCACGACAATAAATTATTACTATTATAATTTGGGACATGGGTACGTGAGTATCATTTTCTTCAAGTCCTCACTCTGTGCTTGTTACATCGATTGTGCGCCACTGGAATTCGATACGTGATTGTTATTTATTACTAGCGTTTCTACCCACATCGCCCCCAAACTCTATTGGTAATTCTTCAATCCTTTTAACAAAAACTTCAATCCACTAATTTCACGCTTGACCTTTCACAGTAGTAAATGGATTTGTAATTCTAGTTTTTTCCACACTCAGTATTGCAAAGCGTCGTGTTTAAATTCCTAAACACTAATCCCAAATAATCTTTTTTCCGTAACAAGTAAAACTCGATTAGCTGCTTCTGTGGATCTTTGGACAGAAACACTTTCGTTTCGTTATATATGTTTTAAAACAAATTCATATCCTTGTGTTTTTTCTGTATGTCGTATTAAGAGGGCGTGTCTGCGCCAGTTTTAGCGCTTTAGGAAAGCGCATTCGACTGATCCGAGGGGCGCTGTCCCCTGGTGGCGAATTACTGAATATATCCGTAAAGGTTTTTTTTTAATAAGTTTTGCTGTATTTTGTGTACTATTCAAGCCGATCGTCCCTGACTCCGATTCAAAACCTACGTCTTTAGTGCAGGTGGCGCGGCCGCCAGCTCGACAAGGAACCGCGCACTCCGCTTCCGCTACGTGTCTCTCTGTTATTTAATCTCACTTCTATTTAAATGTTCAATTTCTATGACTCTGATATTAAACTACAAGTGAACAAGGGTCAAAGATTCAAAATAAACAACATTTAAATTCGCCATACATTCTCGTAAAGTTTTAAACAGCAAATAATTCTTATCTGCGATTAAGATCGGACATCAGACAATTTACATGATGGAAACATTCATCAACAAAATATTTACAAAACAAAAAAAGTAGCAAAGATTTATAAAACTAAAAAGGATTTGGTGTGAAATAAAACTTGTGCCGACAAAAAAATAGGTGAGATTAGAAACTGCAGAGCATGAAAATTACGTCGAATTTAAATTATAGAGCAAAGAAAATTACTGAAGCTAAAATTGTCAGATAGAAAAAATTTGTATATGGCGAAAAATAACAAAGCTAATGAAAGTACATGCGATTAATATTTTATGTCCATTCGAGTTATCAGTTGATTTTTAAAAATGAAGTTATTCGCCTGCATTGTGGGCTATCGTTTTACATTTCTGCAAACAAACACAAAAAAACATAGCAGGCAATTTGGGGGTCCAAAATGGCGTCAGACGAATACGTCGTTCAAGACAATGCGCCAAAGTTATGTTTCCCAGAAATGTGATTCACCCTGTGGCGTTGTTGTTAATTTGTTAAATAAGACATGTGCTCGGTTTGAAAATACTCTTTCAGCATAGCCGCTGCCAGAACAAAGAATTTACCTGATGTTAAACTATCCCACACTTTATCAACGATTCAAACAAAAAATGTTAAATAATGCCACACTCTATCCAAGTGACTGGCCACTTAAAACCACTAAGTTTGAGAGTTTATATCGTAGACTCTATTCCAAACAAAACACATAATAAATAAACGCAAAATGCGTTCCGCGTTGCGAGAAAATATGCGTCTATATGTAATTTTCAACGTTGCGAGGAAATATCTCTGTGATGTAACTTTGCACGTTGCGAGAAAAATATCTCGGTGATGTGATGATGATAACGATGATAATAACTGCCTAAGGGTGAAAATTAATCCGTCAGCCCCTCAGTCCACGATATCATGAATTCTGCCGTACTTTTCTATAGCCTTTTTCCACAGTGGGGCACCTTTAAGTTAATTTAACTGCCGTAAATGAACTATTAGCAATTTTGTGTAGAGGAATTAAGAAGTGTTATAATGTTACACTTAAGTATAAGCATCCAGAAACTTATTCCTAATTCGTTAAACAAAGGTGAGTCTTGACTAAGTGAATCGCATGAAATCTCCTAGCAAGTGCTCATCTAAACAAATTCCTGATTGTTAAACTGTGTTAGAACTAGTTAACGATTAAACTCCTAACATGAACTGTGAATTTACAAACAAAACAAATTTACAGACGTGTTAGCGTTGGTCGAAAATCTGCATATTTACGATTAAAAAACGCAAGAATTAGCTACGCGTTTTGGGGAAACTGTGGTGTCGTCGCCATTACGATTAATTAGCTTACTCACCAGGACATAGTGTGCACTCACAATAACAAACCAAAAGTGATGGACTGCCACCGAACAGAATGACTCATCTACCACGTCGCCCTCTTCTACCAACCCGCTAATTAAAATTCCAAGCAGAACTACCCACTACCCAAAAAGCGCTACCATGCACATGGTTGCCTATGTTTAACGATTCTCTTGATTGAATTTTTTTCAAATTCAAATTATTCAAATGCGATTTTCAGCGCGAAATTTTAGTTCAAATTTGGTCACCACAGTATTAAAATTAGAATTTGAATTATGAATTTTAACATGTTTGAGCATAAATTAATTAAATATTTCAATGGTGGTCAGCTGCATTTTCAGTTTAGTAAGATTTAAAGGGATCAAGTAAATATGAATTAGTATTTAGTTGAGTTCTGATAATTATTCGAATTTCTAAATACAAAGGAAACTGTATAAAATGTCAGTTATGTGTAAATCCGGGGTATTTAATTAATTGTTAAAATTTTAGGGTATTAGGGTAAAAATGTTGTTAAAATAATTTCTATAAATTAACAGGAGTGAATTTGGAAGTAGATTGAAAAGGCGAAATTTGACATATAGTGAAACATTATGTAAATGATTTTAAATACAAATTACGAGCAATAAAAATTGATGTACCTTATGTTTCATGCAACTTTACCAAGTTGGGGTTTAACTTTACATATCTATATTTATTTTGATAAAAAAAATGAACACTACAACACATTTTGAAAATCTCCTTTGCACATAGTTATTGCGAACATCATAAATCACTGATCAGCATGATGATACAAATACACTTAATTTTTCTACATTTAGGAAATTGTTGTGATAGGTTCCATTTGACAAATCTGTACTGAGAAATTCGGTTTACAATTATGGTGTGAACAGCATTTTATCGGTCGAAAATTTGATAGCGTTATTTACAGTTTTGCTGAGTAAACTGAATTCAAAATATACAAAACAATACGGTTTCTACTTGTATTCGATTCTTTTCTTCTTGTTAATCGTACGTATATCAGTTATATTTCTTTGATCCTATAAAATTCATGTTTGACTCCTCTTTCAATTCTCAATCCTTCAATTTTGAAAAATTAACTGCTTTAGCTGTAAGAGACGCTTTTAGCTATTTTTTAAATTTCGAATATCTTACTTCATATGAATTAACCACTGACGCTGTAGAATCTGTTAAAAATATTTTGATACCTCGTTTTAGCAAATTATTCAATTTTCCCAAATTACCTACTTATAGCTATCTATACATAAAGACAATGAATGCAGAACATATGTTAGTAGTGGTTAAGGAAGTAATGAAACCACCTAGTGAAAAGTGGGGATTTTGGTTGGATTTGGGTTTATATTTCTTGACAAATTCATATCTACCATTTGAAAAAGAAAATTTCACACTCACTCTTTCGTTAAAAAAATAAAAACAACTAAGCTGTGCTAAAATTACCTGATCTGTTCATAATACCCAGACTTACCCTATCCGAAAATGGAACGCCACACCGCATAATCGATTAATGTCAGATTAAAAATAAACCACTTAAAAAAAACAACGTATTCATTATTTAAGTTAAGATTTCGGATTCTTGTACCAGAGTGTCTCAATCCAATAATCGCTTGTTATAAGTTCGTTAATCGTTTAATCGTTCGGCCTCACGCCATTCCTCCGGCACACGTCTTCTACCTCAACCCTTCTACCTTTTTGACGTCACCCTAACCATTCGTCGAATTTCAGCTCGTTGCCTTATTAAACGAACAATAAGCAATCAATAAAAGGTGTTGGAATAAGCTATACACCGTGTAAATACTAAATTAACACCATTGTGCTAATACCACCATCCATCAGTGTTGTGATGAGCCGTCGTGGAGGAATCGATAAACGTGCCGGAGCTGCGTTGTTATAACACCTAATCCGAGTGTTGTGTCCTGTCGTGCCGTCGGGGTGTGACCGGAGTGGTGCTGCGATGGGCTGCGAGTTGGGAAAATTAGCATCCAGCGGAGGCTCGGGGAACAACCGGAAGCCGGACGAAGCCGCCCCCCCAGCGACTGTTGACCCGAGGCTGCCGCTCACCGCCAAGCAAAAGTATAGCATGCTGGCGTCTTGGAAAGGGATCAGCAGGGCTATGGAGTCTACGGGGGTCTGCATGTTCCTCAAGTGAGTATTAAACATTTCATAAACATTTCATGGCGTGTAGGGTAGTCGAAAAGGATCGTTCTAGTAGCATCCTTGCCACATTATTTGGCAAGTTATGCTCTATACTAGATCAATTTTTATTCGCCTAGGGGTGACAGCGTAGCTGTCGAGACGTGTCAAAGCGGCTGGCACGTTTTCTCTGCAATATGCATTATCGAAATTGAACCGAGCGAAATTGTTGTTCGTTTCAGAAATACGCAGCTGCTTATAAAAGTACGAGGAGCATCTAGATATTTTTTTTATTTCTTATTTTACACGGTTTTGTTAGTATTAGAACTTATGGGTGGTTATAAAAACAAGTCGTTTCTGATGTATCGAGAAAAAATCAAAAAACAATGTTACTCTTAAAAATCTAATTATGATCAAAGATCAGCTTTAAGGTCAGTCGCTACGTTTTCTGCACGAAATTTTCGGTACATTTTCAGTATGTAATATCTCCATTATTAACAAATTTATGGTTGTGAAACTTTAAATATAAACTGTCTATAACTTTCTATATATATTTTCTTAAAACTAGTTTGTAGTTGTAATCATCCTTTTTTTTAATTTTAGGGAAAGTTTTCAGTACTGTTTCCAGGAAACTCCAGAAATTGTACGAGATATATCGTCGACTTTTTGTTAGAAACGACACACAGTAAAAAAAGCTTGTCTCATAGAAGCTGCTAATCGTTAATTTTAATTTGAATAAATTTGAAAAGGTATCTATAGTACAATTTCTAAGTTTTGTAAGCTGAAAAGCGGTATGAAAACAGCTTCCAAAATTTCCATAAATTATTGGATAGGTTACATTTAAAATTTCATAACAATAAGTGTGTTAATAATGGAAATATTACATTCTGAAAATATATCGTTATATTGACAACACCACCTAAACGTAGGAACTCCTTTTAAACTTGCTGTTAATTAATTAAGGACTTAACGGGACTGTAAATAATGGCGAACTTCGATATTTTAACCTTTATCTTTACCATAACGTTAAAAAGAGCACTAAAAGATCGCGATTTTATGTAGACATTCAGACAGAAAACACCAGTTTGACTCGCTACCAGAATCAAACAACTAACCTTATTAAACGAGGTTTTGTATTACTGCTGCCGCGCAAACCCTAAAAATTTTAATTTCACGGTAGTTGTTTCTGAATACCGTTTGCGACATAAGGTTTGATGTGAGAGAAAAAAGACAACATAACTTAATAATTTTGGCGTCCCTGAGCCTCATAATGTCATAATACTAACACCGCTAATGATCGGCTTGATAACGAAAAGATTCAGGTTGAAAATATCTTAAAAACGATTAAACCGGCTGTCAATATCCAAGATTTAAAATTTCATAGACTGGGCAAGTTCAACCCAACAAATATACGCTCACGACCAATCGAGGTTTCCCTTTTAAACTCGGTCGAAGTTGCGGACATTCTTCGTAATGCTAGATTATTGAAAACTTGTGAACGGGCAGAATTTCACTCGATACCATTATTATTCGGCAGGACACCAAAACAAATTGCGTATTATAAGAAAATCAAAGATGAGCTCACCGCTAGAATTGCGAAAGGTGAAAATAATTTTAAGGCATTCCTCTAATATGTACTGTAAATTCTTCTTCTCCAAGCAATTTAAACTAAATAAGTCACCCAATTATATCTGTACTATCAACTGTATTTATCAAAATGTCAGAGGTCTACGTACAAAAGTTACTAATTTCTTTAATGCAACATATTCTTGCGAGGCTGACATCATTGTTCTTACAGAAACATGGTTTACCGAAGATATTGCTAATAGTGAAATCTTCCACAATAATTATACAGTTTTTAGAACTATTCTTTGATTTACTTAGATATGATCTGCGATCAATAAATCGGCCAGTATTAATACTAGGAGATTTCAATGCCCCAGCGTTTATGGAGTCAGTATAAAATAATTTCACGTCAATATTATCCAATTTAACAATATTCGTAATAGTTATGACCAGGTTTTAGAGGGAGTACTATCAAATTTGTCTTGCAAGGTTACCAGGTCTATGGACCAACTTGTCGAAGAAGATGCTCATCATCCTACGCTTTGGATCGATTTCACTACTGCGGTCACTGTTACTCAACAATTTATAATGAATGATAAAAAGAAATACTATAATTTTAAAAAAGCCAATTATCCACTGATGTATGAAATGTTATCAATTACGGACTAGTCAATCTTGGCATCTGTTAGCGATATCGATATAGCCTGGTCTTTATTCTATGATAAATTAAATGAAATAATACATTCCTACATTCTATAGCAAGTCAAATCAAAGAATTTATCCACTCTGGTTGAATAAAGAAATTATTCTCAATTTACGAGTACTTCTCAAATCTATCTTACACTCCAAATTAAAAAAATTCAAAACTATTCACATGCTTCATTAAAAGTATAAAGTAATCCAAAACCTATGAAACCTATATATACTGGAATACATGTTAAAGTTTAAACATAATAAGTAATCTAATAGTTTAATAATTCTGTTTTTTTAATAAGGTGGAAAATACATATTTCTTAAATCGAGCATTGTAATTGAAACAGCGTTTAAACAGAGCTGTTGTATGTTTAGATATAAGAAATATATTTCCTGATCTGGTGTTATGTTCATGACGGTTCGATAATGGTTTGAATTTTTCAATCAAGTAATCCGGCTTCCGAGACTCAAGAATACGATGTATAAAAGTTAAAACATAATAATCGTAGGTGTTCGGGACGTTTAACCAACATGTTTTAAATTTTTCTGACAAGTGATCGTATTTTCTGATGTTAAATGTGAAGCGACAACATGAATTTTGGATCTTCTGCAGTCTACTTTTGTGTATGAAATCCAAACAAGGGTAGTAAACAGTAATGCCGTAAGATAGGACCGAAAAGATTAATGATTCCATTAGCTTTTTTTTTATTTTGAAGTTTAGAAGAAACCTGAAAGCATATAATATTTTTAGCCTTAAGTAGACCGAGTGAAGTAAATGAGAAATATGTGACTTAAAACGTAAATCATGATCAAAATAAATGCCCAATATTCGAGCAGAAACAGTCCAATTTAAGTCGTTACCAGTAAGTTTGACTGTTACTATATTTTTCAAACTGTCACGAATCTTTGGAGGAGCAAATAGCATAACATTGGATTTTTCAGTATTAATTGTTAAGTTGTGCCTCAGCGAATAGTTACAGACGGCATCTAAGTCAGAATTTAGTAAGATTGTATCTTCAGATTCTGTTGGTTTAAACTTAAAGATAAGCTGCGTATCGTCTGCATAAGAACAAATGGTGGAGTGTTTAATGACTGTTGCTAAATCGGCTGTGTAAAGAATATAGAGCAAGGGGCCAAGAATGCTCCCTTGTGGGACACCTGAGCTGACTTTGCCTACCTCAGAAAACATATTATTAGATATGTATAACAAGTTGATGCCTGTTGCTTAGAAAAGACCGAATCATATTAACCGACTTCACATTAAAACCAAAAAACTGCAATTTGGCATATAATAGCAAATGATTTATCTTGTCAAATTCTTTTGAGTAATGTAATAACACAAGAATGGAAACGTACCTCTGGTCCCAAATTTTTATTAACATGTCATTTAAGTTAAGTAAGGAGGAAACTGCGCTATGATGCTGTCTGAAACCTGATTGATAGGATGGGAATATATTATTGGAGTTGCAGTAAGAGCGAATCTGTATCAACATAATTTTTTCCAAAATCTTAGAAATACAAGGTAAAATACTGATAGGACGCAAATCACTATAAGATTTTGGCGCATTAATTTTGGACAATGGCTGAATCAGAGCTGTTTTCCAAGTTGCAGGAAAGTAATCATTTTCAATGCAACAATTAATTATATGTAATAAATGGCTTAAAATCACTGGCATACAAAGACGAAGCATTTGCAAGGAGATGCGGTCTATACCAACAGCATTGGACTTAAGAGATTGAATTACATACTCTACGGTTTCAGCATTGACCAATTCGAAATTAAACGAGAAATGTTCAAGAAATTTTTTGTTTTTGTAATATTCGAGTAATTCAGGGTCAGCAACTGATTTATGAAAAACAGATAGGAAGTAATTATTAATCATGTCTGGATTAGGTAAGTGATTTGGGATATCATGTAATTCCTTATTATTAATCTTGAGCGATTTAAGAGATTTCCAAAAGAATTTATTATTGTTCTGATTATATGAGTTTTCTAAAAATGCTTTTTTCTCTCTACGTATACGAGCCCTAACAACTAAATATTGGGACACCAAAAAATTTTTATAAAAAAATCACCAAACTTTTTAACAAAAATGTAATTTATTTTAGATAATTAAAATTTTAAAATTACTTCGTTTTGCAAGACTGTTAATGTTTACAGCACAACAAAAACTGATTTCTAACTCAAACAGTGACATAAAACTCTAAAACAACGTAACATTTTGTGACACATAAATATTGGGACACAGCAAATTCAATAACTGGTTATATCTCCTTTTGCCTTAATAACTGCAGGAATTCTTGCCATCATACTTTCAACTAATTTTCTGCAATACACAGGAGTTGTTACCGTATCCTACACTCGCTAAATTTCTTGTTGAAGATTGACAATCGCTTGTCATGGATGATTTCCTAAATATTTTTTTATTTCACGCCATACCGTCTCTACTAGATTAGGATCTGGGCTATTCGATGGTCAGGGCAAACATTTATATTATTATTCTTTGTAATAAGTGTTGTAGGTGTGTAACTTGAAGCATCATCCTGTTGAAAAATATAAATATCAACAGGATAGACTGCTTCAGTAGTTGTTAATATTTTTTTACAAAGTCTCTTGACATTTGTTTGAATTTGTAATTTCCTTTCCATGAACGTTGTTAACTGGTCTTTAAATTCTGTTAATAGACATGCACCCCCAAACCATTTTTCCGCTTGCAAACTTGACTGATTGTTTAAGATAATCCATATTAAAA